AGAATTTTTATATAAACTCTTCTCCCTCTCTTGTTTAGATGGATCTCAATAAATTGCAAGTCAAAATACTTCAACAGATAAGTATTTTCAAAATTTTGATTGCTTCAACCTCTAAGATTCAATTAGGTTGGTAATCCCTTGTCAAATATCTAATATTCTCAAATAAATGTTTGAAACTTAATCAACGTATGTAGTACATAAATACGCAATTATTATTTTCAAATTCTCACCATTAAATTTTCTAAATCATCTTTGTAGCGAACTTGAGGTCGATTACTCCTAAATTAGATGCTCATAGAGCATCAGATTTTTAGATACCCTTGCAAACTTAATCACTAAAGTTATAAAAGCTATGGAGAGATGTTTCTCCTTTTTATCCTTTGTTTTCTTGCCTTGATTAGTAACATGTCTCTCATTATACACCCATTCTCAAAACTCGACTCCTAACTTAAAAGTTTCATCTAATTTTTCGTCATATTAGCCTTAGACAATTCACTCAAGAATTCGCACACATGGAATCTCCATTCAGATCCATATCTCTCTATAACAGTAAAATCACATCCAAAATATTCTAAATTTGGTCTAAAAATGTATATTATAGTGATTTTTGGATTTAATATCTAAGTTCTACTATTTCAACCCATCAAGCATATGAATCAAAATCATTTTTTGGGGTCTTGCTTAGCTCGCTTGATTTGATTTTGTTCCATATTTCACACGTCCTCCAAAATTGTGTTTTGCCCTTTTGAATACATTATGAATTGCCTAAATTACCCAATTCGAACTCAACTAAAATTACTTCGATCTCTTCATCGAGTTTAATCACAAAATTAATGAAAATGGAAGTTCGCATGCTAATCTCATCTTCATTGAATGCCACTAATTCGTTTGTCTCATTTATGATTAATTCCTCGATTTCTACATGTTTTTCTTCTTTAGCTGGTTCATCGCATTGAATAATGAAGAGAGCTCGGCTCGTTGACATCCGTAGTGAAATCACATCCATAATATTCTAAATTATTTAATCTTCAATCCTTTTATATTTTTTATGATGTCTCCTGTAACTATTTTACTGTCATCATCTTATCTTCATATGGAACATCGAAGATAGCTTTCTTTACTTTCTCTGGAGTTGCCAATAACAAACAATCTTTAGTATAATGCAATGCACCACAATATTCACAAGTTGGTTTAATTTCTCCATAAACAATAGATTTGATATTTAGTCTTTTTGAGAAGCCATCCTTATCAAATACAATAAGTTGATTGTACCCCCACTTTTTAAGTTTATGTTTGAAGAGGAATTCTTCGAAGAGAATCTCACCATCATCGAAGTTGGGATCAATCATTGTGAAAGTTTTACCTCTTGTTTCTTTTCATTCCCTGTCAATGGAGCAAAGTAAAATAAGTAGGTCAATTGAAAAATGAAAAAGAAGAAAAGTCAAACAAAAGCAGAAAACAATTAAACCAATATTAAATAAAAATAGTCCCTGACAATGGCACTAAAATTTTCTTGTGTTTTTATATTCCATGTGTATGATATCATAATAAGTAATATAGTGAAACTTTGAGACTGGATTATCCTTCCCACGAAGATTATACATTAATTCTTAATCTAATATTTCCAACTCCTATTTTATTGAAACAAAAAAGAATTGTGATTTGGTAATTTTTGATATAACCCTTTCTAACTAACTGATAGCATTAAAATTGCATACAAATATCAAATTGACATTTCAAATATGGAATAAATATTAGGATAATATTTTATCTATTGATCACCTTTAAATTTTAATTCAAGATTCATAAATCTAATATAGTGTTTGATTGAATTCTTCTATCATATTCAATTTATCCATTTTGAGTTCTCATTAAGCCTATTTAACTAATTCAATCTCATATATCTATGTGAGTCAATATTTGTTAAACGCACTGTTTATTTTAAGGATTCATATAACAACTGCAATAGTTAGTATAAGTACCTCTATACGTTATACTAAATTACTGAATTTTGATATGTGGTCTAAATCTAAAACTTCCATTTCAATTCGTAATAGATTCACAAAATCATTGAATTAGTGATTAAGTATTTCAAAGCATTAAATACATAAATAAAATCAATACATATATAATGAAAGAACTTGAATATTGAGTAAAAGTAATAAAGTGTATCAAAATATTACACTCTTTGCCCTAATGAAAAACTTCGCTATTCATAATAATAGAAGAAAAACAAAAGTACTGATCACATCACCTAATATTAAAGAGATGTAGAAAAATGGATAATTTTTGTACCAAGATCTTCTTCTTCTTCTTCTTCTAATCAATGCCTTAAACCCTTGATTTAATTTCTTAATGTTTTTCTCCTTTTGATTCGCTCCCCTAAATCTCACATTATGTTCTTTGTATCTTAATGTGTGGCTTTCCTTCAAAAGTGCCCCCATTCTTGTATTTATACTTTCCTTAACATTTTCTCCGAATTCGAAGTTTTAATAGACTTTAAACAGGCCAAAACCAAGCCCTAATCTACATTAGGCGGCGCTGTTCATGAAATATTTCTTTCAATTTTAAAACCCACCGCAAGTGTACGGTTCGTTAACAAGTAGTAAAATGAAGTATGAGTCCAAGTATCGTTTCCACGAGGATTGAATTAGCTCTAATTAGACTAATGTGACCTTAACCGAATCTAATTGAATGAAAATTTGGTTTAAATGTGAAAAGCCCTAATTTTGGAAGAAACCCCCAATTTGAAACCCTAATTTTGAAGAAAACCCTAATTTCGAAATTGGAAACCCTAATTTCGAAATTCCCCTAATTAAATGACTCAACAACTCAATTAAAATGTAAATATGCAATTTTGGAAGTTAATGTATAGAAATAAATTGAAATAGAATCATTAGGATCTCGAATCCCCAATTGATTACCAAAAAACCCTAATTTCACAAATTCAATGAATCGATGGAAAAATGCCAATTCAATGTTCCTAAACCTATCCAATATACTCTCTTGATATATATTAAACCTACTCTTGCATACCACCAGCATATATTTCTATGGATGATGCAAATATATAAGAATGCATTAATTTCTATGAACAATTAACGAATTGCATAAAGCATATGGGTATATTTCTATCCCCTATCGGACCCTATGTTGATTTATATTTTATCGAATCTATTCCACTTCTTTCGAATGTAAGAAATAAATCATCTAATCTCACATAATATATGGCCAATAATTATGGATGTAATGAAAACATATAAATCAAGCATATTATCCAAACGAAACTTTATATTGAATTCATGAGATATAAGAATTTAATAGTAATCAAAGGTTCATCGATCTCCTAATGAATTTAAAACCCTAGCCTACAATCATGATTACTGAATCAAGAAATAAAAATGAAATTAAAAGATATAAAGAATACACCCGTATGAAAATCCTTGTTTTCTTGTTTGAAATCTTGAAATCCTTCTTGAATCCTTGTGAAATCAACCCAAGATTGTGTTTTCGTGCCTTCAATTCGTCTTTCTGGTCGTTCCCCCTTTCAATTTGATGATTTTGCATATTTATATCGCGTCAAAATCAAGTAGGAAAAGAGTTTCAACGAAAACAAAAAACTGCAACTGAGGCCCCCAAAGTATAACTATGCAACCGCATAGAAGGTTTCTATGCGGTCGCATAGAACAATAAATTTTCCTCTAGAATTCCCTGCAACCTTCTATGCGACCGCATA